GGGGGGGAGAGGGGGCAGGTTGTACCACATCGAGATACAGGGGCGTAGCTAAGGGTGGCAGAGGGGGCAGTTTGTACCACATCGAGATACAGGGGCGTAGCTAAGGGTGGCAGAGGGGGCAGTTTGTATCACATCGAGATACAGGGGCGTAGCTAAGGGTGGCAGAGGGGGCAGTTTGTACCACATCGAGATAGGGGACGAACCTAGAGGTAGCAGAGAGGGGAAGATTCTATCTTCATCTAGATGCAGGGACGTAGCTAAGGGTGTCAGAGGAGGCAGATTGCATTACATCGAGATACAGGAGCGTAGCTTAGGGTAGCAGATGGCACCACATCGAGATACGGGGGTGTAGCTAAGGATGGCAGATGACCCCATGCACAAGACTTGTTTCGGGCTTTGGAGGTATTTTATTTATAAAATTAATAGATTTCGGCTAGTTTAGGGTGGCGCAAAAAGAACATATGGCCCCCGGGCGCCCGACTCACTAGCTACGCCTCTGTGGAGATACATAAACTGACAGTAAAGTAAGAAAATAAAATACAAAGAACACAAAGTTTATCATTTTTATTACTAAAGTGGGTACATGTAGTTTAAAATATGTATGTGTTGGTTTGCTGGTATCCGACAGTCACAATGTGACGTTGGTGTAGACTTCGCTCTCGCAGGACGAAATCCACATGGCCTGGAATTATTCTGGGCAAATCGCCTCTTTCCACGCCTCTGGATAAACTAAGGGAACAACATGTGGATTATACAGCTTGCACCAGTGGCGTCGCAGGAGTTGAAGGAATGTTTCATTGTGCGAATGTTATCCGCCTACGGGACTCCATCTCCGGGTTTGAATTAAGAGTTTCCTTCTCTTAGACGAATTGCCGTCCAAGGTTAACGAGTCGCATCCACCCGAGGTGCTGATAATGTTGTTGCTTGACTGGGCTTTGGCGGTTATTGCACTCCAGACTTCAAACTTGAGATTGAGTCTAGAACACTCTGCCACCCATAGGCGTAGCGTGATGGGGGCAGGGGGGGCAGATGTCCCCGGGCGCCAGCTAGTTAGGGGCGCCAAAATGTGCTTTGATATTATCTTATTGATGAAAATAATGGGTTTGAGAGTTGAAAAAAAGAAAAAGGGGCGCTAAAAATGGATCTTATCCCCGGGCGCGAATCTTGTCCCCGGGCGCCAAACACCCTCGCTACGCCACTGCTGCCACCCAGCACAGTTTGAAATATATATTTTTCGAAAACTTATAGTTTCTGGATGAGCCCGACTCTACAGCATATCATAAAATTCAAAATCCATTTATCCATGTCAATCATCCAGCGTGTATTTGTAAACAGTGTTATATTCTGACATCCTCTTCTTGTACTCGGCATTTGTGCAGACGACACTCCTAAAAGCAAGTGAAAGATTGCTACCTGATAGAATTCAAACTGTCTTTCACATCTAGGCTTCATTTATCTGGTGGTGGCAGGAGTTCGTAACCTTTTTACTTCGCTAGGAGCCCTTTGCGAATCACACGAAGACCCCGGACCCTTTCTTAAATTGCGAAGGAAATGCAGCCCAGGGACCACTGGACACACTGTCACGGGCCACCAAGGGGAATAAACCCTGGTTCATAAAGTTAACTTCCACTAAGTTAAGTTTCTAAATGACATCAGAGGGGACTGGGAGGCATACATTTGTGACGCGTTGGGGAGCTTTGTGACGCTAGGGGACATGTGGGAGAGCTCCAAATTCGGTCTGACTTGTGAGACTTTTTGTGAGAATTTAAAAATATTTTTTTTTTGCCAATGAGTGATCTTCCGGTTATTTAGATTAGGGTTTACTTACTTAATTTTATTTCCAGTTTGTTTGAGGTATGGTAATTTTTGCCTTTTCATTTAAAAAAAAAAAAAAAAAGATAACAATATTAAAAATATTTTTTTTTTGCCAATGAGTGATCTTCCGGTTATTTAGATTAGGGTTTACTTACTTAATTTTTTTTCCAGTTTGTTTGAGGTATGGTAATTTTTGCCTTTTCATTTAAAAAAAAAAAAAAAAAGATAACAATATAGTTGAACTAGTTGTTGCCTGTTTTCTGGGAGAGGCAAAGTTTATTACGGTACCAAGGTTAAAACAGAATGGTGTTCACTTATCTGTAACTAGGAAATTTATCTTTGCTTGTAATGTAAACCTACTTTTTAGCAAATTGTAGTTACCGCTGTGGGGGACAATAATATTTGAAGCTCTTCGGTGTATGAGATTTAAATGTTAATCAATATAAACATTAAATATGGAGTCTACATTTCGAGCTAAAGATTGTTTTAGACTTCAGATGAAATTATTTCTTTTCCCATTTTCTTTTAATAAATTTGAATTTATCATTATGCTTCTATACGCTATGTTATTATGTCTGAATTTCGGATTTGCTCACACTAGCAACGAAGTCATTATTGAACTTTTTGAGGTCTCGACAAAGCCAAAAAATCGCTTGAGGTCGAACTTGGAGAATCCTTACTTGGAGCAAGTTAACACGCTCACAGAAGCACTGAAGGTGACAGGGCGTAAAACTAATAGCAAAATTGGACCAGAAAAAAGTAGCAACATATTTAATACACTTGACAGTGGCAGCCATGATAAGGATTGTTTGATGACAACCTACGACAATTATGGAAGAGATGTTTTTCAACCTGAGACTGAGAATACGGAGATGATATTTAAAGGAAAATACATGACTTTGGGGAGCAATATTCACGATAATTATAAAGGAGGTCGCCTTCATTTGGTTTGTAGATTTTAATGAAATTTAAACTTAGCATTTAAGTACTATCAACTTCTTACCTGCTTTGCTATCTACCATGGTTGGGGAGAAGGGGACTTAAAAAGTTAAACATTTAAGTTTAAGGCATTTAAGGACAATTTTTGTTGAGATGTTTTATTGGAAGAACTAGCTAACTACTAGCTGGACCAGGCCTGCACAACTCAAAATGTAAGGCGGGCCGTAATACTTTATGAAGAACTTGAGCAGGCCGAAAGATAATAGGACAGGAGGGAAGGCTATTAAGAAAATAATAATAATAAAGAATATTTTATTACTTTGAGGGCCACAAAGTGGGTGCTGGCAGCTGCATGCGGGCCATGTGTTGTGCAGGCCTAAGCTAGACCATTAGCTTCCCCTTTTCAAACTGAAATAGTATTTAAAAATCTTGATTTTAAATTGTTCTTGCACTGCTGACTATGTCTCAAAATTATTTGTTAGCATTATTGACTATTGTTTAACTACTTAAACAGCAACCTATTTACTTTTGTGAGTGAGGAGCCATTTTTATGAATATATCTGTTTAAAACATCTGATATAAATGCAGACAGACCGATTAATTTAGAAACCAATGAATTATCTTTCTATATCTTTTTGTACTGATTCTGTGGGAAAGGATTTCTTCTCATTTTCCTCATCATAAGAATCTCATTGAACTGTCAGTAGTATATGTGATGTTAAGAATCAGATTTATCTTCCAAAAGTTTTTTCTTTTTTAAATTTAATTCCATTTTTATGATTAAATTCATCGAGCTTATGGTAAGTTTATTTGTGTAATATGGGAACTTCCTTTCTTGTTAACTATTAAATTGAACTGAGCTTTCCTAGCCATCGTTTCTCAAAGTTAACCATATCTTTTTCTCCTTTGACCTTGTCCCTTGTGGTCATAGCCTCATAATATATTTTTAGAATAGCCTTTTTAAATAGTTTTTCTAAGTGGAAGTCCAATTCAATTGAATGTTTTTATGACAAATAACTCATCACATTAGTGCCATCCTTAACGTTAAAGGATGGCCTTAGATAATTTACTTGTAATTTATATGGGCTGTACTAACATCAGCTAGAGTTGACAGTTGTGTTTCCTATTGGGGTGGTTTAATGACCCAACTTATATGCCATTCTTTCTAATAAACAGTTGCCAGGCAACTGTGAGGGTAAAGATGATGATAGCGGATATGCTAGACTGCCTCAAGACTGGATTGGAGTGATCCATTATACATCAAAAACTGATGGAAATAAAGGAGACACCAGCATATGTGATGGTCCTTTAGTAATGGAGAGGGTAAGATTGTAATCTATGGCAGGTGTAAGCAAGCTTTTAAGAATGGATTCTGAAATTTTCAACACTTTTGATGCAAACATGGGGGGGGGGAGGGATGTTATTATTTCAAGTCTTTTACCTGCTTGAAAAAAAATGTTTTTAAATGATAAATGAGGAGTACAATTAAAGAAAAATGTAGAAATATTAAGATCGTCTGAATGTAAAATATAGTTTCAGATGTTCTCTGAAATTGTACAAGTCAATGAAGAAGTTAGATAACAGTACTTAAATTTTTATTTTTTTTAAAGGTAATTCCTAGGTTTTGAATGCCAGTAAATTTCACTTCCGAAAATGCTTTAGAATGTTAATGATGAGTTTTTGAAAACTTTTTATAAAAGATTTATTTTTCCATGTATACTAACATCATTTTGAATGCCTCTCATTTCAGGTTCGCAGGGCTTTGATGTTTGGGGCTTCAGCCATAATTATACTGACACTGAATCCAGGAATAATAAAAGAAGTTAGTGCATATTACAAGTTATTGTTAGGAGTTTGGCGCTATGTTATGGTTTAGATGGGCATCAATTGATCTTTACCAAAGACTATTATAAGAGCCAGCATTTGATGTGGGTTTCTTAGGTGATTTCAGCAAGACCAGCTGTTAAATATATTCAAATTAACTCAATCCTACCTGCAGTGCTACTTCTGTACTTAATTTATATTTCTGATAAAGGGAAGTAACTCCGTTTTGCAATGGGAAGTAACTTAGTTTTTTAAATGATGTATATTTCTAAAATACTTTTTAAACTGTGAAACAAAATTAATTTTAACTAATTCCTCCGGCAGTGCTACTTCCAGGATTAATTTATTTTCCTGAGAAAAGGGAAGTAACTCAGTTTTGAAATTGATTTACATTTTTAAAATATTTTTTTAAGTTGCTAAATATTATTTAATGTTAATGAATGAAGAACAAATGCAACAAAAAATGAATAAGGTTTAATATAAATATAACATCGGCGGGGAAAAAATAACGAACTATGACCAAAAAATCGTCGGGATTGAGTTAATCAATTTATGCTAAATGCATCCAGAAAAGAATAAGGTTTAAGTTTAACAAAAATATAATATTAACAGGGACCAACTAAGAGCAATGACCAAAAAATCTATTCTCGGCACCAAGGATGAAAACTTGCTAGATATCGCCACACTTTACTAAAGCACAAATAGATTGAAAGGGAAACAAGATAAATTGACATCACACAGAATGATGTCATCATGGAAATCTTGAGGGGTGCAAGATTTTGTTGCTCTTTTAAAATATAAATGGGAGAGGTGGCTGCTATGACACATTTAGTCGCAACTGTGGGGAATGAGTTAACTTTAGCTTGTCGTTCTTTGACTGGCTTTTGTCTGGGAGTCTTGTCATAAGATTTGTATACCTGTGGTGCTACAGCCCATGTAAGGCTTTTGCCCGGATTCTTGGCATAGAAAAGTGCAGCTGCCTTGTATAACTTTATTTTAGATTGAGTGATGAAACCTCACCTGGTCTATACATTCTTAGACAATCTGCCATAGGTTGCACTGATACCTCACCTGGTCCATACATTCTTAGACAATCTGCCATAGGTTGCACTGATACCTCACCTGGTCCATACATTCTTAGACAATCTGCCATAGGTTGCACTGATACCTCACCTGGTCCATACATTCTTAGACAATCTGCCATAGGTTGCACTGATACCTCACCTGGTCCATACATTCTTAGACAATCTGCCATAGGTTGCACTGATACCTCACCTGGTCCATACATTCTTAGACAATCTGCCATAGGTTGCACTGATACCTCACCTGGTCCATACATTCTTAGACAATCTGCCATAGGTTGCACTGGCTCTTGCAATATGAATGTTGACCTTGTCATCCATGATGCGCTTTGAGACAGAGTGCTGACAATTAGTGAAAATTAGCAAAATTAGTGACACTGCACTGGATATCCAATTCTGATCCCATGTCCTGGGCGTAATTGTCAGCATACAGGAAGTCCCTGATGATGTTTGTCAGGACCTTTTGATTTTGCATATAGACTGCTTGAGGTTGAATAGCTTACCATCAGTTCGATATCTTAGACCAGTTCCAGGGTCTTCCTCTGGGAAGGCATCATTTAGCATGGCGGAAAACATTATTTATTTATTTATTTATTTAGGCATTTTTATATAGCGCTTACCTTAAAGCTCTAAGCGCTTTACAATTATTAAAAACATGTAAACTAACTAAAATAAAAATGAGATTTTAGGATAGTAACTACTATACTATAGAAACAATTCAAATGGCTATAAAACGAGGACACTTTGGCACGTTTTGGCCTATATTACAGGATTAACCCGAGACAGAAAATGAGGCAGGGCAAGGAGGGTGCATCACAGGTCATAGGCGGACCTAAACAGATGGGTTTTAAGGGACTTTTATTTTAAAAGTGGACGAGGTTTCACAATGACGGATATGGAAGGGGAGCTGGTTCCAGAACGTGGGCCCATGGAAGTAGAAGGAGCGTTCACCGATGGTCTTAGTTTTGGTTCTTGGGATTGAGAGGGTTCTGTTGTCAATGGAAGAGCGTAGGCTGAAAAGTATTATAAACAATATACGATATAGTGCTTTCCAAATTTTAGGATTGACATTAAAATGTTATTTGTATTGTTCAGCTTGACTCTGCTCAGATGTTTGCCAAGCCTGTTGTGTTGGTGGACAACATAAAGAACATCACCTGTTTGTTGACATTATTGTTAAGGTGAGTTGTATGGATTGGTCATGTTTGCTAAGTCTAATGATACTAAAGACCCTTAAAACAAAACTGTTCCTTATCTGGTATGCAGTTGAAAGACTAGTCATCCTTACTTACCATGGTGCACAAACAAAAGAGACCCTTACCCAGCATGCAGCTTTTAATCCTGGTTATGTAAGCGGCGTCAAAACGAATCTTCTACTTGACGTCTTGCTTGGATTATGCTCCTTCCCCTGCACCACCACGTTCAGATGGTAGTAGCTCTTATCATCTGTATTTAGATATTCTCACCTTAATCCTTAGAATCTAAAACAAAATCCATTTGCCAGTTTCAAAGATGAGCAATTAAACTAGTTGTGGGTGCATCTTCCTCTTTGAAATGTATCTGCACACTGGACATAATATATTGACTGGAAGTTTCAGGTAGAGTGTTTCTATAAGAGTAATAAATAACCCATTATTTGGTTTCTGAAAATATGAAGCATGAGCCTTTGCCACTGCCTGGAAGCATAAAAGCATTCTAACATAAATTCTTTATATAATACAGCCAAGTGAGAAAGTTTGATGCAAAAATCACAAGCACATCCAACGGGAAGAATCTAGTGCCTGTAAGTTATCTGAATGTATCACCTGCTTTTGTCCTATCATTTTCTGATTACAAGTATCAAATACATAGGCTCAAACAGTTTTGCAACTCTTAAAATCAGGGCTACAGGGGGAGGGAGATCTACCATAAGGTTTAAAATTGTGGACTACAATTTTTCAATTACAATCAGGGGTTAAAATTGTGGGCAGAATTGTGGGTTACAATTAAAGCTTAAAATTTAGGAGCTTCCATAGTGGGTTACAATCAGAGGATAAAATCTGGAATCTACAATTGGATGGTACAATAAGGAGGACATATAAAGTGTACAATCCAGAGCTTTATTCTGGAGTTAAAAAACGTATTTCATTATGAACTTGCCTGGAATGTGGATCAGGAAATTAGAAACTTAATGTACATTATTATCTGAGATTGTCTCCTATTACAATTCAAATCCTTTGAAGGACAATTATAAACGACTCTGAAAATTAGGACTCAGTAAATTGAGTTACAACATTGATGTCTCATTATGTTTCTTGATACTTGCATTGATATGAAATTTAATGTGTAAACTCTTGACATTGCAAAGCACATGGCAAAGCTTTGAGTCCAGCGCATTTTTTCAATTGATAATTATAATCACCTGGTTCTGATCTGCAAAAGCTAGAGTCTAGTGTTTATTATGTTTCAAACAAAAAATTTAAGAGGAAATTAAACAACCCTGTAAAAATATGGGTTTTATAACTCCTTAATAAAATGTAATATTGAGCAAATATTTTGGGGGGGGGGGGGGGGGCTGAAATTTGACAAACATGCATTCAAGTAAAGCACTTTAAAAGAATCCCAATTAATGCTTGATAGGTTGATGGGAAGTGGGTCATTTAGCTGTCTGAAGATTTTTTCCAGCCACCCACTTACAAAAGTGAAGTTAATATAAAGGATTTAAGAAAAAAAACGAAGAAAAAATAATTTAATTGGTCATTTTAGAAAAATTGTAATTTGCTAAGTTGTAGAAATCATTGATTAAAAAAAGATAGGTCAGAAATCACAAATCAGTTAAAGCCTCATTTTTTAAAAATCATTGTAAATATTTTTAAGTGACCTGTTTGACATTGATTTCCTGACACTGTCATTTTTCATAAATGGCAGTTGGGACCCAAAGCTGCCAATTAATATTTCTTCTGATTTTGGCAACAATCCCTTAATTTGAATTAAAATTCCTCCATAGAAAGTTCCGACTTTTACAATGTGGTCCACTTGTTACAAAGCTCCAGGAGGCCGCGGAGTGATTTGTGTTGGGCAGCAGGATATGTCAGAGCAAGGGAAGGTGAGGTTATATTTATGGATCTTGCTTTTAGTTCTGTCTCCAATGAGTAGTGCTCTTGGCAACAATAGAATTTCATCATTTCTCTATCAATTGTCTCCTTTATAGCATGTATCATATTTTAGAATTGTGTCATTTTTCATAGATCCGATGCTGACAGAATTTTGTGTTCAAAAGTGTTAGCATTAAAAATTCAAAAATAAATATTATTATTTCTGTTAGTTTTAACTTCATTTGAACAGTACCTTAGATGTATTACACTGCAAGTAGCATTATCAAGGGACTGAGGAGAAGCTTACATATCCTAGTAATTTGCTACCTGTTCAAAAATTTTAGATCAACCTGCAATTTTATATTAACAGTTCTTTAGCCCATCACCTTATTGAATATTTTAAGGCTGACCCTAATCAACTTTGGGAATGCTTCTATGCCTGCATTTTGCTGTTGGTCATACTGGCAGGCCTCAAAACACGACTGTCTGATGGAGGCTGGGGCTTTGGGGATCAGGATGCGCTGAGAATGGCCGGTCATGAGGTGGGTAAACATCAATCAGTGCGATAGCTGGCAGCACCTGTTTAACCTCGAAGCTCGGGTGGAGACAAAAATTATTTGTTAAAATGCAAACATAGTAAACACACTGGTACCATAAAATCTGACAAAGAGACTCAATCATTTAAATGGAACATGGGCTCATTTGTTGTTTGCATCCATGTGAAGGGAAATAGCCCTCTTCAGGATAATGTGAAACGTTTTTAAACGTATAATCATTTCAACATTAGATATTTTGATTGGGCAGAAGTAATTTTTAACTTGACAGTATTAATTTTTAACTTGACAGAATTAATTTTTATGACGTACGTGCCCAAAGGTTGCTTGGAATTATGGGGTGACAATCATTTTATATATAAAATACCATAATCATTTTATATTGTTTTTTTATTATTTGTTTGTATCAATAAACTATGAACACAACTTAACATCTTGAAAACATGAATCAGTATTGCAACAAAAAATAAAATAGGAAAAAAGGTTGATTGTTACACCAGAACCATGATCATCAGAAGATAAAAGAAAGAAAATGGAAAAGCAAGGTAGCCAAATATTTTTTTAAAATTAAAAATGAAGATTACAAAATATATGGAGTTACATATGTGGTCATCAGCTAGATGTTGTAATTATGTTTTCTTTGAAGTTATACAAGAAATAATGTACTTATACATTGTACTGTATGTGTTTGTGCTCAACTTTCTCTTCTTTTGCTTCTGTATAATTGTAAAATTGAAATGCCATTTAGATTTCTTATCTTAACTGAAAAAAGCCTTTTGGCCAAACATTTTACACAAAATTGCATCAATGCAAAAGCCGGTGATATCCAGTCAATGCCGGATTAATCTTGCCAACATTTCTCTAACAGTCAAGCATGAGAAAAACTGCACAGTACGCACTCTCTCTGATGAAGACCATGCGGTACAAGAAGAAAGGGGAAACCATCCACACTGACACTTGCGCCATATGTCTTGATGAGTTCTTATATAAACAGGTTTGTAGGCTGCCATTTGAATGCAGCACAAAGTTCTGATGAAAACTACAGGAATAGTTCAAAGACAGCTTCCAAGGTTTAAACAAATTTTTAATAAGTTTTGAAAACTGGTATAACTTTAGATTTCAAGTGATTCATTAAAATGTGTCTCTGGCTTTTTCTGTATATTTTTAATTTAAATGGTTCCTGCAACAAATGTGCACCTGATGTGTCACTGACGTGTGACATATGTTTAACAAGTCTTATTTGTTACTTCAGATTCCTGCTAACAATTACAGCTAAGAAATCCCCATGAGACAATTTTATTTCATCGCTTTAATAACATTGAAGAGTCACAACATATATACGTCCAAACTGGAATAAAATAACTGGTCTTACATTATCTGACTTCATTCCTAATACGTACAGGTCAAAGATAGCCGCTCGGATATGACATATCTTAAATAAATCCTCAATACATTGCAAGAGCACCTTCTCCATTCAAATCTACATCTCTGCTTCCTTCCTCCCTCTCTCTCTCTCTCTCTCTCTCTGCGCATGACATCAAAATCATCATTGTAATACTTAAAATAACAAAACCAAATATTTCTATAAAGATAGAGCTGTTACATTTCCAAGGGAAAAAAATTAATTATACATCACTATTATAGGCCCTGTTTTTTTAACGAGGCATATTTTTATATACAGTAATTCTTGCATCCTGAAATATGTTTCATATTTATGCAGCATTGTGATTTTAGAAAAGATAAGTTCTCAGAAACTTTTGTAATACAATTTACCAAGCTATTTATATCCACTGAAAATACTTTCAAAACTAATTTAATTTAAAAATAATTTGTACACACGAGAATGTTGTTTATTAAAATGTTAGAATTGAAATGATTTCCTTCCTAAACCTTTGCTCTACTTTCTGCTCTTCTTTCCCCACACTCCCCTTTTTTTTCTTTCTAGACACACCATTTGGTTACAATTTGTTAACAAATGTTTTTGATTTTCTACTTTAAAGCTAAGATCTAAATAACATTATATGAACTGACTTGTCGTCTTGTACTCTATGATTAGAAATTGCGACTCCTGCCCTGTTCTCATTGCTACCACACACGCTGTGTTGACCCATGGCTAGTGAACAACAGAACTTGCCCCTTGTGTAAACTCAACATTATAGGTACGTCTTGGGACATCCTCTTATAGTTAGACATACGCTGCACGATTAAAGTTGTTAACTACTAGCTTTACTGGCATTTTTTAAGATTTTCATTCCTATTTGTGTACATAATATATGTAACCATACTTAAAATCATTAAAAAATTGCACTGCAGTGTACATAACATTTGTATGTAGCCCTCATATAGAATACAATTTTAACTCTATTTTTTAATCAAATTTTGTTTGTAATCTTTAAAAAAAATTCTAATTGGAAATGTGTCGCCTATTTTTATAGAAAAACATTCATGGCTATAAACAAAATATGAAATGATCATGCAGTCATGAAAAGCTAATAATAAGTCTAAAATATATAAATTGACAGATAAAATTTTAAATTTTTTTTCCTTTTTTTAAAAAAAACTGAAGGCTTTAATTAAAAATGCTCTTCAATGACTTTATTTTCAGAACAACTAGAGCACTAAATGGAAGTGTTTTATTTATCTCCCTTAGATTGGACCTTGACATCTCTGAAGTTTCTCTTGAAATGTGTCAGTGGCTTTATTGTGTGTGTCTGACAAAGTATGAGTGTGTGTGTTCAATAATTTTTTTTTAAATGTATGTGTGTAAACTAGATGAGTGTGTGTTGTGTAAAATAGATGAGTGTGTATGTATTGTATAAAATGGATGAAAGTGTGTGTGGGAGACAATGGATGGTATTGGGTGTTTATGGCAGATGCTAGATGGCATTTTGTGTATTTGGTGGACAGTAGAGTACATTGTAAGTGTGACTGACAGTCAGTTGTAAGTGTGACTGACAGTCAATTGTAAGTGTAACTGACAAAAGAGTACATTTAAGTGTGACTGACAGTAAATTGTAAGCGTGACTGACAGTAAATTGTAAGCGTGACTGACAAAACAGTACATTTTAAGCATGACTTGACAGTGGAGTACATTGTAAGCATGACCGACTGGAGTACATTTAAGTGTGACCGATAGTCAAGTACATTGTAAGTGTGACTGACAGTGGAGTAAATTGTAAGCATGACTGACAGTAGAGTACATTGTAAGTGTGACTGACAGTAGAGTAAATTGTAAGCATGACTGACAGGGGATTAAATTGTAAGCATGAATGACAGTTGAGTACGTTGTAAGCATAACTGACAGTGGAGTACATTTTAAGTGTGACTGACAGCGGATTACATTGTAAGCATGACTGACAGTTGAGTATATTGTGAGTGTGATTATAATGGCATAAATATATACAATTATACTACATATGATACTGAAAAACTGTAGAGCTCTTATCTTAGTTTGCTGAATAGCAGGAAAGTAAATTTTGTTCTTCATCATGAGTGGTTAAGTGATGCTTATCTGAGTAAAAAATGAAAATGTGTGATAATTGTGCATTCAAACAATAACGTTGATATATTTTCATTGAATAAATCCTCAACATACTGTTGCTGGTGTTTTTTCTATTCTTGAAAAATTATATCTTAAAGATCTCTTGTTTCTTTATGTGTGTCCCATCACAAGCAAGGGGGTCAAATCCATCTGGGTATGTCCCCCACCTGTGGTCAAATAGCTGATTGATGTGGACTAATCAGCCCAGCACAGCAGCTATTCCCACATAGCAGGGAAATCTGAAAAAATTTCATAGCCACCAAATTTGAGAGACAGCAGCAAAAATATGCCACTGCATCCACATTCCCAAAGAGTTGCACCCACTATCCCAAAGAGCTGCGGTGTAAAAGAAATTAGCTGACAATTAGTCACTAGCAATAGAAAAATAATTGCAGACGGTATCACTAAATATCAGATTGGTCAATTTTAGAGTTGTTTTCCCAATTCCTTTGTTTAAATGTATTTCCAACTCATACTTACAGTGACTTCCTCATTTTAATCTTTGCACCACTGACAATGATTTTCCCTATCACAGCATGTTTAGATGATCCTGTTCTTTTGTTTTCAATAAAAGCTTTAGGTTCAAAACAATGTTGTTTTTTTTCAATATTTATTTACCTCAGTGAATAAATGAACAGTGTCATTAAATTGGCCAGATAAGTGTTCAGTATTAGTGACAAGCAGTTACTAGCAGTTCTAATAACTTATTTATTTTAATTATGAATTTTAATGCAAATTTTTGTCAGTTAATGTAATATGAACAATAATATGGTAAGAGATATGCTAATAAATAAATAAACAACCCTTTAAATAAAGCTGTACCTATAAATCCTTTTATGCATTTTTTATTACTTTATATTAGTATTTTCATGTTTCACCCACTTTTTACACCGGACATTTATTTCACCAACTTTTTCAGAAAAATAAAAGAAAGTATTACACACCAATTGCACTTGCAATATATTTTTTTTAAGACTCTCATTTAGCGCAGTTATCAGGAATTTTATTTCGTGAAGTCAGTGGCATTATACTTCATTCATCTTCCCATTGAAAAAAATTAAAAACTGATTTTTGGGGGCCGGGGATTGAAAGATTATGTTGACATCAGTAATGAGTCTATGTTCCAAGTTTCAGCTCGTTAGGAAGTTGGTTAATTAGCCGTCCGAAAATTTTACCAGCCAGCCACAAACAATATCAAAGTAAATATTAAGGATTTTTAAAAATTTTAAACCTGTTTTAATTTTGAGGAGCAAGGGAAGAGGTATATAATGTCAAATGTCCTCACAATATATAGTGGTTATGAATATATGGCCTTTGAAATTGCCTAGACCTCTTGAAACACATATGCATAAAACTAGAAATGTAAATAAAAAAATGAATCACCCAATAATCTCTTCAAAAGAAATATTTATTACAAGTTACATTACATTCCAATGAGTTCAATCATCATGCTTCAAGTATTCTGTACTGTTTATAAGATCTGAATAAAAGTTTAAAAAGCTGGTGTAATGTGTGCACTTTTGGTTTTAAAATTGTTTTTCAAAGGCATTTCTTAGTTTCTAAAATGCTAGTAGATATTTCTGAAAGTGTGGTCATGCAAAAATAAATCTGAAACAAATTTGAATGAAAAGTGTGCAATTACAGACAGAAAATATGAAGGCATTTAAAATTTTAAGGGGTATTTCTTCCTCCTCTCAATCGCATACAGGATTTTTGGAGACGCCCAGGAGAATATTTCAAGTCATCTTTGAGGCCATTTTTTTCCATTGTGTGTAATAAAAATAGACCCACAAAAAAATTTCATAAGACACTTAAGACATCATTGGTAATTATAGATGTTCTAAATATATATTTATTAAAATGATTCTGACAAGCAACAAAATAAATTACACAGCAAAATGGTTACGTAAAAGGCCATTAATTGTGCAACAATAAACAAGTAGACATCGATGACTAGGTTAGGCATGGAAAGATAACATGGAGGTGATGGGATTGGGTGGGGAGGGATTGGGAACCTGCCATCAAGCTTGTGAAAGAAAAGTTTTGTTTTTTTTCTTTTGTAAATCAAGCTTTAACACATCTTGTGCATGGTTAGGTTTTAATTGGTGTCAAGAAAAAACAAAGTATAGTGAATAATATGGCACCATAACATGGTTGTGTCAGTACTCAGAGATATATACAGTCTTTTTTTTTTTCAATGTGTTTCACATATTTTGTTAGTTTCAAATCAGCTTAGCAGACTTATAATTATGATGTTACAACATTTATATTACACAGTACCATGCCAACATTTAATAGCTAAATAACTAAGCTTGAAAATAATACACTTTAATTATAGTTTCAAGTTTTAAAAAATGTATGTTATATAAGTTGATGACCTATTTACCCAAATCATAGCTGGGATTCAGTGCTGCAATTTAAATTATTATCATGAGAACACATATTGGTCTCTATATAATAAATTAAAATGAAGAAACTTTTTGAATTTTTTTGTTTGCCTAATTATCCCATATGTTTGGATAACAAATACCCACCAAATGGTGAGAAGAAAATATTTTTCAATGTATTTTTTAGTAACCCATGAACATTTTTAGGTCAAGTAAATGGAACTCTTGCACGTTAAATGTTTAACAAAAAACTCACATTGGCCTGATTGACTAAACTCACAGTGGCCTGATTGACTAAATGGAAGTACCGGCATAACTTTGCTAAATAGTGTTATTTTCTAATCCAATATTCATTTTCAGCACTAAAAAAAAGGGCGAGACATTTTAACATAAAGTACAGTAGAATCTGGTTAAATTAAAGTATCCACATCAAGACTAGATAATATGAGTGAATTAATTTTATACACATTTCATTTAACATTCATCATAAATATTTTACTAGCAGATACTATAGATACTAAAATACACAACAAATATAAATAATTTCACTTTATTACACGTATGAAATAATTAATAATCAACAGATACCCTCATTAGATTACGCTATCGGTACTAGTAACAAACCTGTTTACCCTCAAACTTAAAATCGTACAATATCATCACAAAATCGTTTAATAAATTATCTTAATAGTAAAAAAATAAACATACGGTATATAATGTATACAGCTCAAAATCGTACATTGTACGCCAAAATCGTAAGAGTTAACAGGTCTGTAATAAACTATAAATGGGTCAGTTCTGAACAGACCAATAAATTTTGCCCCACAAACCTGCACACCCACTCCCTCCTCCCCCCAAATAATGGCAACTATCTTTAGAGTCCTTTCACTGTACCCACCCATTTACAAATTAAGACACAGCCAGACCATTCAAACATTAATTCCTGTAATAGACCTTTTAGAAACTCTGGTTCTTTTTGTGCACAAATAGTTTGTTTTTTTAAACTTGTAACTTAAAATAATAAAATGTGTAATCTGTTGGTCATTTCCTCCCATTTAGGTCTCTACTGCTCCTCGTTGCTTTGTTCCTGGTCCACACCCTCAAGATTGAAAATTCTACTGCTGGGATTACTTACATCCCCAAATAACAGACTTTCCTCGTGTTCCTTGGCGTCTCTGTCTAGCTCTGAACTGCTATAGACGAAAGCTTCCAAATTTTGTTTCAGTTCTTGCTGCTCTTCCGTGCCAAAACCAATGTGGCACATATAACCCTCTACTGACGTGTACCTGTTGTTGAAATATGAATGATGATTAAAAAAATGGTAACTAACAGAATTACAAGCTTTAAAAATAAATTTCATCATATCTACTTTTCTTCTTAGTATTTTTAATCCTGAAGAATTGTAGTCCCTTGTATGTCTTATCTTGTATTTTGTCTACTTTATTACTGAACGAGAAGCTTTGCTACATGCACAAATATACTTTCATTCTTCTTATCTTAATCCCGTCAAAACTTAATAAATCTATTTAATTAAATGTCAGCATTGTCCTGATAAAAAGTAGGAATGCCTGTACTGTAATACAGTTCCTAATGTTGTGGCGACCCCCAGCCACAAAATTATTTTCGTTGCTACTTCATAACTGTAGAGTATTTGTGTTTTCAGATGGTCTAAGGCGATCCACAGGTTGAGAACCGCTGATCTAAGCACTGATTTTTTCTGGACAGCTCCAAATTAGTTGTTTTGTCTGAATGACATGTGGCTATGGGTTCTGGGTATGTAATGTCATGGATAAATATTTGTTGTTTTTTGTCTGAACTTATACTACCCACTGAAACAGCAATTGTTTTTTTGCAACACAAATTATGAGCTGAGAATTTTTTAAATAATAATAAATAATATCCTTTCAACTAGGAAAAAAATAATATTTTTAAAAAATGTCTGTAACTTTTTATAAATTTCAAACATTACAAAAATATTTACTTCTGTTCAATGTATGTCAAAAGACTTCTCATTGTTTCAGCATCGGATTTGCAGAACTCCTCTCGCAAATGATACTTTTCAACAATATCCTTATAAACAAGATGCTTCACTGGTTCCAAACCTTCCTGAAAAAAAATCATTTGTGAAAACTTCATTAATGAAAAATTCTTAGCAACTTCTAAAATCAATGACTTCAAACAATTATGTGTGAGGTAATAAACTCTATACAATACAAATAGAACAAGTTAAGAACTACTTACTGTTGACAAAGCATACTCTTCAGCAACATAGTCTTTAGGCATTCCTAAACAAGTTAAAACAAGAGCAGACACAATCCCCGTCCTGTCCTTCCCATGAGCACAATTGATCAGTGCAGGTAGATTGTTGGGATCAGAAAGCAGCTTGAGAGCTGATTGAAAAATTAATATTTTATAAGGGACTATCAAATAAAATGTAGAAGAGAAACATTAAAATTTAAATAAAAATGTGTATTAACAGTTCATGTCTAATAATAATTTATTAAACTGATTGACATTGAATACAGCTAGCTGTCCCAAGAAAAGCCCAGAAAAAAACAAAGAGTCCAGCTGAAACTCACAAATTGTTGGGTGTAATGGGTAAAGACAACACACCATACATTTATTAAGATAATTCCCCACTATGAAAAGAAAATCTTAAAAATGAGAAAGATGCAACTTTTAAAATTCCTCAATATCTATAGGATTTCTATTATGTACTGATATATTACGCTATTATATATAATATATGAATGGCGATCTCATTAGGTTTCTGTATAGAAAGTGGCATATTTTTTTAAAAAGAAAAATCGAATAGATATCTGGGTGAAATGTAGAAAATAATTGGTAATTTAGAAGTGGATGTCACTTTAAAGATTACAGAGGATCTCTTGAAAAAAAAATAATAATCTGATAAAATTTCATTTGGATCATTTCTGATTTCTGCCTTGTTAACCCAAAATATGTTAGCACAAAGGTGAATAAGTAAGGACTGGATAAAATCACAACAGAAAGGGATTCTCAGCAATTGTGCCAACACAGAAACAGATCATGCACAGATCAAACTGCAACACTACCAATCATTGTAGAACAGTCTTTAAATAAATTTTATCAACTCGGAAAAAGCCTTTGATAGTAATAAACCTTGTGAAAACTTCTCTGGCATTATGGGGTACCAGAAAAACTAATCATGATCATTCAGAGTTCTTATGAAGAACTAATGACATGCAGGGTGTTACACAAAAGTAGACTTAAAGATGCCTTTAAAGTGGAAAGAGGAGTCACACAAAGTTGTCTTTTGTTCTTCTTTCTATTCATCCTGGCCATTGAGTGGATAATGAACAAAATCCACACACAAAAAGAGGACACGGGATACAGTTGACCCCTGGAAACAACTGAATGACCTAGACTTTGCAGATGACATTGCACTTCTGTCCCACAACCAGCAACAAATGGAGGAAAAGACTAAAGATGTAGCCACCATTTCAGCACAGCTCAGACTCAATATAAATAAAAGCAAGACAAAGATCATCAAGGTAAACTCAGCCAACCAAGAGCATATCTCTCTGGCAGGAAATGAGATGGAAGAAGTGGAGGCCTTTACATACTTAGGTAGCACCACTGACATAAATGGTAGATTCGAAGCGGATGTAAAGGCTAGAATTAGAAAGGCTAGGTCAGCATTTGTGCTATTAAATATTAAAAGAAAATATGGTAGTCAAAGAAGCTGACTCAGCAAACCCAAGTCAGAATTTTCAACACAAATGTCAAACAGTCCTACTGTATGGAGCTGAAACTTGGAGAACAGCAGTGAGCATTAAACAGAAAGTACAGACCTCCATAAACACTTGCCTTAGAAAGATCCTGAACATCAAATGGCCAAACACCATCACCAACAAAGACATACTGGAAAGGACATACCAGGGGTCTATTGCTGAAGACATCATATGGAAGAGATGGATAGGGCACACTATCCACAAACTCCCAGATAACATCACCAGATAATCCCTAACATGGAACCACAGAGAAAAAGAAAGAGAGGAAGGCCTAAGAATACATGGAAACGTGAGCTAGAGGCAGACACAAAGTATGGGATACACTTGAAAGTAACTGGAAAGGAAAGCACAGGACCGAGATGAATGGAAAATTCTGTAAATTTTGAGAGAGGATGCCACAATTTTCTCAATGGCCGCCATCTTGGTTGACACGACCCTTGAAGTCACGTGAAGTGTCAACCAAGATGGCGTCTAAAAAAGTAGTGCAAAACATGTGTTATTAAAAAGGAAGTGGAGGGAGAAAAAAATGTGTTAATTAATAAAAAATGAAAGGAAAGAAATAAAATTAAGAGCATTTTTTGGGAAATCTATCCCTAAACCTAAACTAAGCAGGGTTTTGACCCTATCTGAACCAGGGTTTTCACTATATCGGAACCAGGGTTTGACCCTATCTGAACCAGGGTTTTGACCCTAAAGGAACCAGGGTTTTGACCCTATCGAAACTCCCAAAATCGATCCCTAAACCTAACCCAAACCCTAAAACTAGCACTAAAGCCGCAAGTGAAAACACATGGAATTTACACACTGTGGCAAGAAAACTATGAAAATAAACAAAAACAATAAAAATGACCAAAAATATTTATAAAATAAAGAAATAATGAAAACCAAATTAAAGTTTCATGAAATACACTTTTACAAATTTTATTTTAGGTTCCACCGAAAATAATATCCACAAAATAAATAAAATACAAGGCCAGCACCACCAGACGTGCAGACCAAATAAATCAAATATGGCGGAAAGAAACATACCTTATTATGACCCACCCAATCAAAATTTAAAATTATAATTAATCAACCAATTAAAATTTTAATACAAAACATGCCATCGGCGTACGAATACTAATACATAAAAAAATAATTCTCTAAAATTAAACAAAGGGAAGTGACTGCCACACGTAAACACCGAAAAGACGTCGTGACATCCTCTAGTTTTAGCCGAAAATTCTTGTAGATGGTCTATGCCCCAGTTGAGGTAAAAGGCATAAGTAAGTAAGTAAAGAATAAGTAAACTACAAAAACTAAAATTAAATTTAACGAAGTATCTACACGTCCGGCGCCGGACGCCGCGCCGGACAAATAGTGTGGGAGATAGTGTGTCCAGCGAGCATGTCACGTGACCGCCAGACGACTTGTAGGTGTTATTATTCCGAAGGAGTTATCTATTTAGAAGATTTTGTGTGGTCTTGTGGTAGTGTGGCAGCTTGACGATATTATTTTTGTGGATCGATTCCCCGCATGGGCACCCCTTTTTCCCCCATTTTAATCAAAAATATTTTATATTATATTTATATTATCATGTTCATCAGCAACAGTAGTTTTATGAGAAGTTTTAAAATATTTTTAGCAATTTAACAATTTAAAATGTTTACTTTACAATTTAAAATCTTTTACTTTTATTGGTTGCCTACTCCATATTGAATACTGGCCCCTAATTATATTATGGGTTGCTGGTACACAAACTCAAATAACAAACTAAACAAAAATGTTTACAAGCCACTTTCACTTCAGTTTTTTCTATCATTTGCATGCAAGATGTACAATACTTGGTAGAGAAATAGATTTTAAAATTAACAATAGTTTTGAATCATTCACGGTCACGTGACAAGGCTGATGGAAAAAATATCTCTCGCCACTTTGTTACGGCGGTCATGTTACATGTCTATACATCCGGCGCGCCAGACGTATAGACACTGCCTAAATTTAAATATGAATGAGAATGTCAGAATGGGATTTGTTTTACAAATTTCAGAATTTGTTAATAAAATTAAATTAATAAATATATAAAAATGACAAAAAATTATCCATAAATAAACTTACCTGAACATATAGAAGACTGACTAAATTCTACAATATCTACATATTGACCATACATGCCAGTTTTATTGAGGGCTTTCTTGGCAAAGAACTTAGAAAAATTTTTGAACTTATTTCTTCGCAATAAGTCTAACAGAAAGTACAGTATTCCCAAGAGCCATAAATGCCATGGTAGTCTGTTAAACACTGCAAAAACATAAGTCATGCGAAAAAAGTTTATCAAGTAATGTTTCTTTTCAAAAGTTTCAGAACTGGGTACTGCCGCTGGTTCAGGGTTGTCTTGACTTGTTGCAAATTCCTCATCTTGTAACAAGTCCTTGTCCTTTGAAGACGTCTCATATTTATTGCTCGCCTTAAAAATAATTTCACATTTAACTTTTTCACCAGCCTTATAATTTTCTTTTGGCACACAGACTTTGTATAACGAATACTCCTTGTCTAGAAGACAATGTCCATCAGTACCCAAATATTCTTCTTTAGATCTGAAGTCTATGATGCATTTAATACCTAATTTTCGAAACTCTGCAAGCTCTTCTGAAATTAATCTGTCAGGCTTTGAAGATCTGTAAACTGCAGCAGCGTTTTCTTGTAATTTAGAATAAATTGACGATGTGGATCTTGTGCATAAAATTCTTAAATTCGGAACACTATCGAGTTTAGGAACAAGAAGTGAGCTTCTGACAGCTGCCGCCATATTTGTTTTGTTTTGTTTTTTGTTGTTCCGGGTCAAACGGTCAAACATTTATTTTATCAGGTCATTCGACGTGTCTCCATAAACAACATCTGTGGTCTGAGGACAAAAAAGTTCCATACACAACCGTTGTTTTTCACTCTTGAGAAACCTCGCCTTACTTTTCGTATCGTTATCAAACAAGGCAATTTTTTTAGATTTTTCTTTTCTCTCCAAAAACTCACAGAGTGAAAAGTATGATGAGCTTGCATGCGGCAAAGCGGTGCCTCTATAATTTTAATGTAAGATCGTAAATAGGCCGACGCAAAAAAGGGTATAGGTGTTGAAAAGTCCACGGTGTTTTGATTGGGGCGAGAAAGGAAGTTAAAAAGAGCATGTTCTATGCTTAATCCCATTGTTATCTGTTATTTTCTTCTCTTTATATGATGAAAGCCTAAACACTTTTACTATTCATTTACAGAGCCAGGAGGTCCTGAATTTGACCATTAAACGAGGCTCGGTTAGCCTCTTTGTGGAAACACGAGGGCATGGGTGGGGGTTGGGGGGTCGGTCACTTTATTTTAGCTGATTTCGCCCCCACCCCTTTTTACACTCACCACCCAAATCTTCACAAATTTGTATTTCAAATTAGACATCACAAAACTATCACACCGCAATTTTTTAGACGCGTGAATTTTCCCTTAAGTATTCATACGGTAGTCACTGACTCCTCTCCTCCTCCCAGGCCCAAAATCCTACAATTTAAGATAATGATTTTCAATCATTTGATAATGAACCATAGTAAAACACATTTAATTATCTTTCCAGCAGCCGTCCACAATGTTCTTCTTTTTTTTTTCAGTGCCTAAATCTACAAAATAGAACCAGTGCAAAGAGATGCCCTCTTCACACGGTCCTGATTTTCATGAACGACCCATTGTACAAAGTTGGACAGGCTTCTATTGTAACCATGTCATAAACAAATAGGCATTCAGCTCAAACACAATTTAAAGCAAGATCTGTACCTTGTCGGTATATTTCAATACCATGAGTCGGACTTACAGAGATTTGCACAAAGGCAATATAAATATTTTCTTTAAACTTTTTAAACTTTTGGGTAAATTAACTTTATTAAATGAACACAAAACATACCAATATTGTCATTGTCATTATATAGATCTAGTAAGAAAATGAAATCTCCTTTCACAAGTTTTAAAAAAAATAATTAAAAAATCGGATTATTTAAGTAAATCAGAGGTCATTTAATCAGAACTCATATAAAATAAACAATGAACAATTTCAAATAGTGGAAAAAATATAAAATTTTTAAAAGGTGGGAAAATTTAAAAAAAACAAAAAACAAAAAAAACTAATGTTCAAACTGATTTCGCGAGGTCAGACATTGTTTTTAAAACTCTTTACGTTAGAGCGACTCTAACTCGGTTCCTTTCAGATTTACTCCTGCATAGGCCATTTCCATCTTATGGTATACCGTTTGAGCCATTTAATACAAACATGACGATACATGTTTAAGGCTTCAATCCTCTGATGTCAATTACAGCCTTGAAATACGGGTTTAGCTAATAATAAATGAAGTACTGCGCTCAAGCTGTGTATACAATAGTAGAACAAGGTATGGGGAAGCTTTAATCAAAAGACAGGACAATAAGATGTGAACGTTTCGACTAAGAGCCTTCCTCAGCTAGCAGGCAAAAATGGAAATACGAATAGAAACAGAGCACAATGAACAACTTTAGAGAGCTCCTTTGTTATTTCCGGAAGTCAAAGGAGATCCCTCAAGTTTTTTGTTGTGCTCTTTTCTTGTATTATTTTCATTTGTTCTGTTTGCCGAAGAAGGCTTTTAGCCGAAACGTTCACATCTTATTGTCTTGTATTTTGATTCAAGCTTCCACATAGCTTGTTCTACTTTTTTATTCACATTGCTTGTTCTACTATTTTATTCATACAGCTTGTTCTACTATTTTGTTCACACAGCTTGTTCTACTATTTCAAGTTTATCTAACATAATTGTCTAAAATGTACATTTGACACGCGATAGAATGAATCACGTTACGCCAGGGGCCATAACTCAAGGAGCTCTGCCTTGCAGCAAATCAATGGCGTTGTCCAGGATCCATTTCATGTACATGAAGACATCAACGTGGAAAGTAGGACTCTCGTCGCACTTGTTCACTCGTTCGCTGACGATACCCACGAGCGTCCAGTAACCTTTATCTTTGCAGTAGACCCCACTGCCAGCGTCCCCTGCACAGGGGAAGACACCCGGGTCAACACACTGGAAGCACTCGACACGCGTGTCCAAGCTCATCTTGTTGATTCGCCCATAGGTGCGACACACGTCCTGCTGCACCCAGCGCACTTTGGCCTGTAACAACTTTCTCGACCGATTGTCGGCGTCCACTAAAGTATCGTAACCGAAACCGACAATGTAGCAGTTGTCCATGTGGGTTACATCGGTCCAAGGCAAGCAGACGGGCCTAACGTATTGGTTGAAGTTAGCCTTCTCGCTCAAGTCTAGGAGAGCTATGTCGTCTCTCGCTGAGTTGACCGTTTGGCTATAATTTGTATGGCTTTTATAACGACCCCCGAGACGACGGAACTGTTGGCACGGTGCAAAACTGCATTGTTCGCTTACGCCCAGCTTCGCGTATGCAAAACTGTCCTTGCAATGGGCCGCTGTTATAGCCAAGAAACGGCTGATCAATATTGCCCCGCAGAATGGAGTTCCCCGGCCGTATTTATAGACGCCAAAAATGGTGACATGCCACGGCCACCCTTTCTCTGGAACGATTGTTCCATTGATAATCGCTTTTGCCGGGTCATAGTCCATGGTGCCGCAAGTCAAGTTCTTAAATTGTGCACTTATCGCCTCCAACTCTGGAACATTAAATGGAGGAGGATGGTAGGTGCCCCAGTACGACATGAATGTACTCTTCAGATCGCTAACATCTGGCCTCGGGATCAAAGATCTTCGGCACGATTTATTTTGACCTCTCGTAGATACAGAGAACATCAGCAGCATTACCTGCGGAGAACAAGGGGGTGTGAAACAGACTGAATGCATCATGAATCTACGTCAGACAGAATTTTGAAAAATTTAGGAAGGCTTATTTTAAACTGGTAATGTTTAGTTCATTAATCAAATAACCCTACTCCCCCCCTCCCCACCAACAAAAACAACAACAACAAAACAAAAAAAACAAAAACAAAAAAACAAAAAACAACCAAACAATAGACATGAAAACCAACATGTCCGTGATATCCTATTATTAGGCATGAAGTTAACTATTTCTTAGGACAGTGCACACTTCCGACAGCAAATACAAACGTTTCGGCAAATGCCTTAATCATTAAAACAAGAAATACACGAAAAAAAACCAGTCATATGGCCCATCTGATTGTTGGCTGTTTAATATCGCCCGCCTTCGTGCCAAGACAAGGGTAAAAAAAGAAAGTACTAATCCGCAAACTGCTGTTCGCTGACGATATCGCCTTAACATCGCACACATAAGAAGGTCTTCGCAGGTTAGTTTATCGCCTCTCTCACCCATGTAAAGAGTTTGAACAAGCCATTAGTCTACAGCAAACAAATGTCATGAGCCAAGAAGCACATCTCCCTCCAAACATAACTTGTGGGGGGCCATCATCTGCAGTTAGAGTTGGGAATTTCACATACCATAGATCTAATATCTCTTGTTGACTCATCGTTGATGAAATGGTGAACGTCACTATCACAACAAACAGCAGTAACTATGGCAACATTGAAAACGTGGGTGGGGAATCACCTTAAGCTAATTTGAAGTTAAAAACTAAGCTAGTGTTTGACAGTCATGTGTGCTTAGTACATTCCTGTAAAGCAGTGAATTTTGGACCACATATGCCAGTCATGTGTGCTTACTACACTCATATTACCCTATAAGACAGTGAAGTTTGGACCACATATGCCAGTCATGTGTGCTTACTACACTCATATTACCCTATAAGACAGTGAAGTTTGGACCACATATGCCAGTCATGTGTGCTTACTACACTCATATTACCCTATAAGACAGTGAAGTTTGGACCACATATGCCAGTCATGTGTGCTTACTACACTCATATTACCCTATAAGACAGTGAAGTTTGGATCACATATGCCAGTCATGTGTGCTTACTACACTCATATTACCCTATAAGACAGTGAAGTTTGGACCACATATCCCAGTCATGTGTGCTTACTACACTCATATTACCCTATAAGACAGTGAAGTTTGGACCACATATGCCAGTCATGTGTGCTTACTACACTCATATTACCCTATAAGACAGTGAAGTTTGGACCACATATGCCAGTCATGTGTGCTTACTACACTCATATTACCCTATAAGACAGTGAAGTTTGGACCACATATGCCAGTCATGTGTGCTTACTACACTCATATTACCCTATAAGACAGTGAAGTTTGGACCACATATGCCAGTCATGAGAGTGAATCTCAACCGCTTTTTCCAAAGATGCCCGTGTCACATTTTGCGTATTCGTTGGAAGGACAAGGTGCCTAACACAGAGGTCTTGGAACTTGCCAAAAAGTGTAGCAAGAAGCGCCTTAGCTGTTTAGGCCATGCAAGGAGAATGGAGGAAGGTCGTATTCCAAAGTACGTGCTGAATGGAGAGTTGACAGAAGGGGCAAGACTAATTGGACGGCTGCGGCTGGGATTGATGGACGTTTGCAAAGGAGCATAAGGGAAGCCAACATAGAAATCAAGGGATTGGAGATCAAAGCTGAGCACCGTTCCAGCTGGCAAACAGCAGTATATGAAGGAGTGAAAAAGGCAGAAGACGCGCGAAGCAAAGTGCTTCCAACCAAAAGAACATTACGGAAGGCCCATTTTAAACAGGAGTCAAGATTAACTCCTACAAGAAATGTAGCCGATACTTCTATTCCAGGATTAGTCCCCCTAGTCTTTTCATGAAGTGTCCATATCTGTTTGTTTTTTTTTTTAGTTTTATTTTTAGGCGCTTTTTAGTAAAATATTATTTCAATTTTAATCTGTATATTATCGACATTCCAGTTGTTGTCTGTCCTAGTGAGAGAATAATGTGTAATTTCACCATCTCTCACCAGCCCCACCTCTCTCCCTCTCCCCAGCTTACCGTATCACGCGCGGTCCCATACGCACCTGTTTTCGGCCGGTCACTGAACAAGACAGGTGCGATGAACTATGATCAACTGAGCGACAAAATCACGCGTGTCAACAACAAACATTAAGATTTGAAAACAAGATGGCTTCGCGAGTAGAAAGTTAAAAATGATTATTAAAATAAAAAATAGGGAGTCGGCTGTGGGGTTTCTATCAAGTGAATTTTGGTGCATCTCATTAGATGTCAAGATAACTTACATCCCCTGAACGGTGCGAATTGACTGATCTGTTGCTTCATAGCATAAAATAGAAAAATCAGGATTATTGTAGCTTACTGGCGTGTAGTAAAAAATTTGTTGTACGGTGAAAAAGCTAACTGTGCCTTTAAACCGTCTCTTCACTTACATCACTCTGAGGCTACTTTGTGCAAGATTTGAAAAAAAAAATGTAATACAGCTCAGGTACTTTGGGAATTACACAATGATTGTTTGGCATGAGTGCACCGTGGCTCACAACTGGGGGATAGAAGAATTGTACAAAACCCTACAAGACCTCCAGAGAATTGAATGCCTTATATGTGGGATCAAAATGCTGCTTTCCGGTGACCTAAGACGGACACACCTCCCGCCTTTCTTCGCGAACGCTTTCAAGTGAGGTTCAAGACCGTCTTAAGTAATCCCGCCTATGGCCTAACTTCAACGTTTAAAACAGGAGTGTAAAGACGTTTAGGAATGACAATGACAGGAATTGAATGTCGTGGTTCACCACGAAATAACACATCGGGGTCGATGTAGCGCACTAGCAGCAAGCTACATGACTTTGGTAACAGCTGGGCAGCCTTTTGAAATAGTGTGACGCGATTCTCCAGAACAAAGACAATGCTTCAAAACAAAGTTACTAAGTTGATGCGGATTATAGCAAAACTCATCCTGCTGACGACGCTCTATAGTACTCTTTTATGTTCTGCGGGGAAGAAGATGGCTACTGCATCAGCATATCCCAGCGTGATCCAAATTCTAAGGCGGCTTTTAAGAAAAGTTCAGATCCAGCCATCACTCTTCCCCAATCACGGAGACAAAGTAAACTACATCCTAATATACGTCGTGTGATCCCCTCAAACATCGAAGCGAAGCACGGGTAGTCAGTCAGCTTTTCAGTACAACTTAAACTGACGTTGGAAGTTGAAGTTGTTGTTGAATAATTTCAACATTCTAAACAAACTTCAAACACGGAACATTGAATCATCGAAATTAAATTTTAGAAATAAAAATAAAGCAAACAGATAAACAAAGAAAAACCTGAAGCAAGACGTCCATCCTTGTTTGTAGCTTCTATTTTCAAGGTCTATTTGGTAATGGCATCAGGTTAAAACGATGCATAGAAATGTCAGTGGAGCAATCTTCTGTATAAATCCAACACTCTTTCAGACCGAATTTAGGTACTGTGCTTATTAGTGTGTTGATTCCAAAATACGCTTTGTAATTTCACAAAATTCGTCAGCTCCATTCTACACGGTGCGATATGCTGCTAGGATTAAAGCAAGCGCACAATTCGTCAGCTCCATTCTGCACGGTGCGATATGCTGCTATGTTTAAAGTAAGCGCACGTCGTGCGAACCATACTAGCTTCCAACTTCGATGATTTTAATTGAAATAATCAATACACGCACGGTGCATCTACTGTTTAAAATACCTGCTCGAAGCTATGCCTTTAGTCTTTAAATTATTCTTGTTGAATTACTTTGTTAATCTCAGACATTGGGTATCTAGTCATATTATGTTAACCTAAGCCATGTTTTAATCTCAGTCATTTATTAATCTCAGTCATGTGTTAATCTCAGTCATGTGTTAATCTCAGGCATGTGTTAATCTCAATCAAGCGTTAATCTCAGTCATGTTTTAATCTCAGTCATTTGTTAATCTCAGTCATTTGTTAATCTCAGTCATGTGTTAATCTCAGTCATGTGTTAATCTCAGTCATTTGTTAATCTCAGTCGTGTTTTAATCTCAGTCATTTGTTAATCTCAGTCATTTGTTAATCTCAGTCATTTGTTAATCTCAGTCATGTTTTAATCTCAGTCATTTGTTATTCATTCATTGTTAATCTCAGTCATGTTTAAATCTCATTCATTTGTTAATTGCAGTCATGTGCTAATCTCAGTCATTTGTTAATCTCAGTCGTGTTTTAATCTCAGTCATGTGTTAATCTCAGTCATGTGTTATTCGCAGTCATGTTTTAATCTCAGTCATGTTTTAATCTCAGTCATGTTTTAATCTCAGTCATGTGTTAATCTCAGTCATTTGTTAATCTCAGTCATGTGTTATTCTCAGTCATTTTTAATCTCATTCATTTGTTAATCTCATTTACTTTTTTAATATCAGTCAGGTGTTAATCTCAGTCATGTTTTAATCTCAATCAATGATGATATTACCATCAATAGTTCGGAAACCAAGCGTACATCTGTACAAGGCTTTGCACCTGAATATCTTTAAAAAAAACTCATGTCTAAACATGTATCCACACGGAACCTGCGCTCTTCGCCACAGTCCTTACTGAGAGTGCCCAGTGTGGATGGACACAGAAAGAAGTCATGCGGAGTGTGCTCACCAACACAGTCCTTACTGAGAGTGCCCAGTGTGGATGGACACAGAAAGAAGTCATGCGGAGTGTGCTCACCAACACAGTCCTTACTGAGAGTGCCCAGTGTGGATGGACACAGAAAGAAGTCATGCGGAGTGTGCTCACCAACACAGTCCTTACTGAGAGTGCCCAGTGTGGATGGACACAGAAAGAAGTCATGCGGAGTGTGCTCACCAACACAGTCCTTACTGAGAGTGCCCAGTGTGGATGGACACAGAAAGAAGTCATGTGGAGTGTGCTCTTTTGAAGCTATTGCGCCTACATTGTGGAACAGTTTGCCCGAATCTTTGGGAATATAGAAAATTATTTTTAAAAAGTCGTTTAAGAACCATTTAAAGCCTTTTTTCTTTAAATGAATTTGAGGACATCAGAGCGCTGTGAGCAGGCTAGAATATTATGGACACATACGCAATAAAAGTATTCAATCATCATCACCATCATCATCACCATCATCATCACCATCATCATCACCATCATCATCACCATCATCATCACCATCATTATCACCATCATCATCACCATCATCATCACCATCATCATCACCATCATCATCACCATCATCATCACCATCATCATCACCATCATCATCACCATCATCATCTCCATCATCATCACCATCATCATCACCATCATCATCACCATCATCATCACCATCATCATCACCATCATCATCACCATCATCATCACCATCATCATCACCATCGTTATTTATATTTCCTTTTCCATTATAATATAAATATTTTTATTTGTGAATTACATCGTTTGTAATTTCGCTTGCTCTTCTCTCTCTCTCTCTATCTCTCTCTCTCTCCTTACTCCCTCTCTTCTTACTCGATCTCTCCTTATTCCCTCTCTCCTTACTCCATCTCTCCTTACTCCATCTCTCCTTATTACCTCTCTCCTTACTCCCTCTCTCCTTACTCCCTCTCTCCCTCTCTCCCTCTCTCCCTCTCTTATTACTCATTCTCTCCCTCTCTCCTTCCTCTCTCCTTACTCCCACCCTACCTCTGTCGCCCCTACTCTCCAGTCACTTCCTGTCGCTCCCCTCCCTCACTCCCTTCCTTTCGCTCTCATCTCTCTCTTCTCTCTCTCTCTCGCCCTCTCTCTTTACTCGTTCCCTTCCTTTAACTCCCCTACTCTCCAGTAACTTCCTCTCCCTCCCTCCCTTTCTCTTCTTCCCTCTCTCTTCTCCATCTCATCTCTCACAAACTACCTTGATCTTGGAGAAAGCAACCAAATGAAAGGGCAGTGCTTAGAAAGAACACATTTAATGTTTTGGAATGAACGTTTTCTACAAAACACAAAGAGGGGTCAAGTTATAAACACGTTAGAATTGCCGGTAGGACTGGGAATTTAATATGTGTCACGGTGTAATCAGCTAGTACAGTACAGTGTAATCAGCTAGTACCGTACAGTGTAATCAACTAGTAGCTTACAGTGTAATCAACTAGTACCGTACGGTGTAATCAGCTAGTACCGTACAGTGTAATCAACTAGTACCGTACAGTGTAATCAACTAGTACCGTACAGTGTAATCAACTAGTAGCTTACATTGTAATCAACTAGTACCGTACAGTGTAATCAACCAGTACCGTACAATGTAAGCAACTAGTACCATACAGTGTAATAAACTAGTACCGTACAGTGTAACCAACTTGTACCGTACAGTGTAATCAACTAGTATAGTACAGTGTAATCAACTAGTAACGTACAGTGTAATCAACTTGTACCGTACAGTGTAAGCAACTAGTACCGTACAGTGTAAGCAACTAGTACCGTACAGTGTAAGCAACTAGTACCGTACAGTGTAAGCAACTAGTACCGTAAAGTGTAATCAATTTGTACCGTACAATGTAAGCAACTAGTACCATACAGTGTAACCAACTAGTACCGTACAGTGTAAGCAACTAGTACCGTAAAGTGTAATCAATTTGTACCGTACAATGTAAGCAACTAGTACCGTACAGTGTAACCAACTAGTACCGTACAGTGTAAGCAACTAGTACCGTACAGTGTAGACAACTAGTACCGTACAGTGTAAGCAACTAGTACTTGACAGTGTAAGAAACTAGTACCGTACAGTGTAATTAACTTGTCCTGTACAGTGTAAGCAACTTGTACCTTATAATGTAACCAACTAGTACCGTACAGTGTAAGCAACTAGTACCATACAGTGTAAGCAACTAGCACCGTAACGTTTAATCAACTTTTACCGTACAGTTATTTTGAATGAGTTAATACTACAGACAAAATGTAAATGTTGACAACAAGGCAGCCTGGGGCTCGGTGTAACAGCTGGTTAGGTCTCCGCGGGGTGGATTTGTAGGATATATAGCCTGGATTTGTGTGTGTTTGTCTGTGTGTTAGGTAGATGAGTCTTTTATGGAGGTTGGCAGTTTCGTGATCGTAATTATGTGTGTTTGTGTAAATGTGTTTATGAGTAGATGTGTGTGCTTTTTTTTTACCTAGAAATTACCCGGCTATGTGCGCACCTATGTGCCCACCTATGTGCCCACCTAAGTGCCTGGAAATATAGTAGACTCTACAGTGAAGCGTTTCCAAATATTAATCTTTTAAGTCTCCCGGACTGTTGGACAAGTTTATATTTGGAGAACGCTGCTCTAGACTATGCACCAGGCTACGTACCCGGCTATGTATTAGACTCTAGACTATGCACTTGGTTGAGTACTAGATTCTAGATTATGCACCAGGCTACGTACCCGGCTATGTAATAGACTCTAGACTATGCACTTGGTTGTGTACTAGATTCTAGACTATGCACCAAGCTATGTATCCGGCTATGTACTAGACTTTAGACTATGCACCCAACTATGTACTAGACTCTAGACTATGCACCAGGCTACGTACTAGACTCTAGACTATGCACCCAACTATGTACTAGACTCTAGACTATGCACCCAACTATGTACTAGACTCTAGACTATGCACCCAACTATGTACTAGACTCTAGACTATGGACCAGACTACGTACTCGCTATGTGCCCTGTTATGTAAACAGTTACGAGGCCCGGTTATTTACCCGGCTAAATGTCCAGCTTTATATCTGGGCCATCTACTCGGCTTTGTTCATGACCGCTGTGACGCATTCTTTATGTTTGCATGTCAGTTATTTGAATCCTTGGCAAGTGTGTGTGTGTGTGTGTTTGTGAATGAATATGTTTACATTTGTGTTTGTGTGTGATTTGTGTGTTTCCTTCGTCAGAGCTGGTGGCTAGCCAGCAATTATTTTTCCTCGAAAACTGCCAGCGACTATGCAAACTAAATGAATTCAACGTAAAACGAGTAGAAGACACGTGTTACCTTCCTTCCACGCTTGGGTGATCACCACGGGATCTAGAGGCAATGACGCGTTTCGGTTTCCATTCTAATTTCAGCGTCCTCTCCTGTTGGCAGGATCAACGGCTGACACTTTTTGTAAGGCTTCTTAATGATACGCTAAGTGAATCGAACTGTTTCATATGGTGAGTGAATGTTAACTGTCTCATGTGGTAAGTGAATGTTAACTGTCTCATGTGCTAAGTGAAATTAACTGTCTCATGTGGTAAGTGAAATTAACTGTCTCATGTGGTAAGTGAAATTAACTGTCTCATGTGGTAAGTGAAATTAACTGTCTCATGTGGTAAGTGAAATTAACTGTCTCATGTGGTAGTGAAATTAACTGTCTCATGTGGTAAATGAAATTAACTGTCTTATGTGGTAAGTAAATGTTAACTGTCGCATATGTTAAATGTCTGTAACTGTCTCATGTGGTAAGTAAATGTTAACTGTCGCATATGTTAAATGTCTGTAACTGTCTCATGTGGTAAGTGAATGTGACTGTATCATATGGTTAGTGAATGTTAATGTTTAAGTGGTTAGTGAATGTAACTGTGTCATATATGATAAGTCAATGAAACTTTTTAATGTGGTTAGTGAATGTACTTGTCTCATATCATATGGTAATAACTGTCTCATGTGGTAAGTGAATTTAACCGTCTCATATTGTAAGTGAGTGTAACCCTCTCTTAAGGTAAGTAAATGTAAATGTCTCCTATGGTAAGTGAATGTAACTGTCTCATATGGTAAGTGAATGTAACTGTCTCATATGGTAGGTGAATGTTCCTGTCTCATATGGTATGTGAATGTAACTGTCTCATATGGTAAGTGAATCTGTCTCATATGGTAGGTGAATGTAACTGTATCATGTCATATGGTAAGTGAATCTGTCTCATATGGTAGGTGAATGTAACTGTCTCATATGGTAAGTGAATCTGTCTCATTTGGTAGGTGAATGTAACTGTATCATGTCATATGGTAAGTGAATCGGTCTCATATGGTAGGTGAATGTAACTGTATCATGTCATATGGTAAGTGAATCTGTCTCATATGGTAGGTGAATGTAACTGTCTCATCTGGTAAGTGAATCTGTCTCATATGGTAGGTGAATGTAACTGTATCATGTCATATGGTAAGTGCATTTAACTCTCTCATACGCTAAGTCAATCAGGGGCGTAGCTAGATTTCATGCCACCCCGGCGGGCCAAGATTTGTTTCCTGCTCCCTAACGAAAAAAACTAAACTCGTCTGATGCTGAAAAGGTCCCCCCAAAAACTAAACTCGTCTGATGCTGAAAAGGTCCCCCCAAAAACTAAACTCGTCTGATGCTGAAAAGGTCCCCCCCAAAAACTAAACTCGTCTGATGCTGAAAAGGTCCCCCCAAAAAATAAAGAATTCAAAAATGTGTGAAAAAACTTGATAAAGAGATTGACCGTCAAAGACGACTGAAAGCTAAGTAAAATTAGAAGATACATTAACATTTTCTAAAAATGCACTACGCATTGAAAAACTAGAGGACTCCACGTAGTCAAAGGATTCGAACTAAATATAGACGAACTAAATATAGACGAACATTAAATTTAAAAAAATAAAAAATTTTCTCTTTTCTTTTCTTAGTTTTTAATTATTTCGTATTTCTAACCACGTGATTTTTCTCATGTTCGAAGTACTTTATATACATTGCGCCGTGACAAGCAACATTTGGCCCCCGGGGCAAAGCCTGAATTTAGACGCCCTCTTTCCAAAAAGTATAGATTAAAACACATGGGAGAGATGGGAGAGATGGGAGACATGGGAGGGATGGGAGAGATGGGAGAGATGGGAGAGATTGGAGGAATGGGAGTAATGGGAGGGATGGGAGACATGGGAGTAATGGGAGGGATGGGAGATATGGGTGGGATGGGAGTAATGGGAGGGATGGGAGAGATGGGAGACATGGGAGGGATGGGAGAGATGGGAGGGATGGGAGATATGGGAGGGATGGGAGTGATGGGAGGGATGGGAGATATGGGAGGGATGGGAGAGATGGGAGGGATGGGAGAGATGGGAGACATGGGAGGGATGGGAGATATGGGAGGGATGGGAGTAATGGGAGGGATGGGAGATATGGGTGGGATGGGAGTAATGGGAGGGATGGGAGAGATGGGAGACATGGGAGGGATGGGAGACATGGGAGGGATGGGAGATATGGGAGGGATGGGAGTAATGGGAGGGATGGGAGATATGGGTGGGATGGGAGAGATGGGAGGGATGGGAGAGATGGGAGACATGGGAGGGATGGGAGATATGGGAGGGATGGGAGTAATGGGAGGGATGGGAGATATGGGTGGGATGGGATTAATGGGAGGGATGGGAGAGATGGGAGGGATGGGAGTAATGGGAGGGATGGGAGAGATGGGAGAGTTGGGAGAGATGGGAGAAATGAGAGGGATGGGAGAGTTGGGAGAGATGGGAGGGATGGGAGAGATGGGCATACAGAGACATTGAGATGATATCGATGGAGTGAAAAGTGGAAGATCTTTGATGGCCTCTGCCCCCGGAATATAGTGCCCGCGGTGGTTGGCCCTTGTCGATCGTCCAATTTTTTCCACACACCCACTTAAGTCTCATATATACAAAGACGAGAACCGAAACGCTGCGTGAAGATTGAGCGCGCTATGGTCTTGTTTAGCCAACCAACAGTATCTTGCTGTATCGTTACACATTATCAACCCAGCCCACTCAATGCAACCAACAGTATCTTGCTGTATCGTTACACATTATCAACCCAGCCCACTCAATGACTGGGCAAAACGCTATCAGTGGGATCAGCAAGCTCATGGTAGCAGAAACGACTCCAAGAGTGTGTATGAATGCAGCAGTTTATGGTGTCTGAATGACCCCTGGCCTAATTCAATTCGAAAAATTCATCGTCGAACAGCGCAGGTGGTGCAACCAGAGCCAAAAGTTAATGTCACCAAAGCCATAAGGTAATATCACCAGGGCCGTTAAGTAATGCCACTAGAGTTATGAGGTAATGTCGCCAGAGCCATGCGGTAATGTCACAAGAGTCATAAGGTAATATCGGCAGAGCCATGAGGTAATGTCGCCAGAGCCATGCGGTAATGTCACCAGAGCCATAAGGTAATGTCGCCAGAGCCATAAGGTAATGTCAAGCGAATTGTCTGAGCACACACATATTGGCGCTTCATTAACTTCTGTTGACTTAAATTTAGCCGATGTGTAGTTTGATAACATAGGGCGCGAGTGTTGAGTTTCAGACCAGGCATCCAAGTCATAAGTCAAACACTCTTGACCGAAGTCATAAGTCAAACACTCTTGACCGAAGTCATAAGTCAAACACTCTTGACCGAAGTCATAAGTCAAACACTCTTGACCGAAGTCATAAGTCAAACACTCTTGACCGAAGTCATAAGTCAAACACTCTTGACCGAAGTCATAAGTCAAACACTCTTGACCGAAGTCATAAGTCAAACACTCTTGACCGAAGTCATAAGTCAAACACTCTTGACCGAAGTCATAAGTCAAACACTCTTGACCGAAGTCATAAGTCAAACACTCTTGACCGAAGTCATAAGTCAAACACTCTTGACCGAAGTCATTGACTCAAAATAAATATATATTTATACAATTCTTTTCGAAAATAAAATAAAATTGTGTATGCTGTGGGAAAAAAAGGTTGGGGGGGGGGGTTTGATGTTCCCAACGTATTTCTATTTTTTTAAATAGTCTGTTTCAAAGTTCAAACCTTTAAATAATATCAATGTATGTCAGAATAAATATGTAAATAAAAGTAGGGCATACACATGATCAAGTTACATAATTAACTTGGTGTGCATTCATCTGACTTATTCATGCTGGGGATGTGCGGTGAGGAATAGAGATAAATTGTAATTGTGTGTATAGGGTAGTGGGGGAGGCTAGGCTAGAGCCTTAGATAATTTAAGGCTTTGGTCCATATTGAATGTTCTCGAGCATCGTTAACATATATTCACATTAATTATTACAACAACTTCCAAACCATATGTACACATATACGTATTTACCATGCATTTGTTCAATTGTACTAAACATATGTGGTTATATTTACTTTATATTTTAATAACCTATAGAATCATATGTGCGCATCTTCTTGATCATATTGTGATGAACACAATGGGGATTTGTACATATAGATTTTATAATATTTAAAAAAAGCATGGATTTTGAGATGTAGGATAAGTATGAGTCAGGACAAACGACAATGTATGAGATGGAAAAGAGGACAAAATATGTGTTAGGACAGAGGACTATGCATGAGTTGGGACAGAGAACAGTGTATGAGTTGGGACAGAGGACAGTTTATGAGTTGGGACAGAGGACAATGTATGAGTTGGGATAGAGGACAATGTATGAGTTGAGATAGAGGACAATATATAAGTTTGGACAGAGGACTATGAATGAGTTGGGATAGAGAACAGTATATGAGTTGGGACAGAGAACAATGCATGAGTTGGGACAGAGGACAATGCATGAGTTGGGATAGAGGACAATGCCTGAGTTGGGATAGAGGACAATGTTTGAGTTGGGACAGAGGACAATGCATGAGTTGGGATAGAGGACAATGTTTGAGTTGGGACAGAGGACAATGCATGAGTTGGGATAGAGGACAGTTTATGAGTTGGACAGAGGCCAATGTGTGAGTTGGGATAGAGGACAATGTATGAGTTGGGACAGAGGACAATGTATGAGTTGTGATCGAGGACAATAAATGAGTTGGGATAGAGGTCAATGTATGAGTTGTGATAAGGACAATTCATGAGTTAGGACAGAGGACAATGCATGAGTTGTGAGAGAGGACAATGCATGCGTTGTGAGAGAGGACAATGCATGATTTGGGATAGAGTACAATGCATGAGTTAGGACAGAGGACAATGCATGAGTTATGACAGAGGACAATGAATGAGTTGTGAGAGAGTTGGGATAGAGGACATAAAAGATCTTCCACTTTTCCCTTCATCGCCACCATTCCAGTTCCCTTTAGGCCATCTTGCCACCTGTGTAGCTGATTTTGGGCCTCCAAGCCACAAGTGGATTCCACGCCTCATTAACATTTTAAGGCTCCACACACTTTTCCATATGTGGATTTCATATCCTCTTACCCTTTTAGGGTTTTGCACCCTCTAGCCACATGTGGATTTCATATCCTCTTACCCTTTTAGGGTTTTGCACCCTCTAGCCACATGTGGATTTCATATCCTCTTATCCTTTTAGGGTTTTGCACCCTCTAGCCACATGTGGATTTCATATCCTCTTACCCTTTTAGGGTTTTGCACCCTCTAGCCACATGTGGATTTCATATCCTCTTACCCTTTTAGGGTTTTGCACCCTCTAGCCACATGTGGATTTCATATCCTCTTACCCTTTTAGGGTTTTGCACCCTCTAGCCACATGTGGATTTCATATCCTCTTACCCTTTTAGGGTTTTGCACCCTCTAGCCACATGTGGATTTCACGCCCTCTTATCTTTTTAGGACTCCACACCCACTTGTCCCATGAGAGTTCCAAGCTTTCTAGCCACTTATGTGCTTCTCACACTGGCACCCTATGTGGTGGTTAACACCCTCTTGTCACTAACGGGTTCCCCGTTTTGGGGGGATCTGGTGGAAATTGTATTTTTTTACCCTGTTTGTCCTATGCTTCTCCAGTGACTCGGGATATAACAATGATCATTATGATTGGCGAGGCTTAAACTTAAGTCTTATGGTTGTATTAGCAAAAAATATATATTTTGAAATTTTGTGGTATTTTGACAATCTTCACTTCAATATGACTGTAATATTAAATCCTAAATTTTATTGATTGCAGTACCCAAATATGCCAATAACAACCTTTATGTGTTTGTTTTGAATATTTACACATTTCCTGTCTTCACTTAAATACATTTTATAATTTCTCCTCAGATGGCCACAACAGACACCAACCCATGGCTGGAAGTGTCCAAGACTTACCATGTCCACCAAGAAACTCTTGCGTACACACAGGCCTGCCTAGCCATGGGGAGCAGACCTATCTCGGAACTCTCTATAAAAGAAGCCCGGGCGCATGCCCTGAAATTTAACATCACCTTCAACGGAAGCGTCCCATTCGACGGCGAAGAAACCGAATTCACCATCCCGTCGCCTAGCAATGAAGAGGGCGTTCCCGTCACGATCTACGCCCCTAACTCTCGCCCGGATGTCCCGGCAATTTTAGTCTATTTCCACGGCGGGAGCTTGATCATGGGAAGCCGGAAAACCCACGAAAATTCATTGAAAAGGATCTCAGAACAGTCTGGTGCCATCATCGTCAGTGTGGAGTACCGTCTTCTCCCGTGCGAAGAAGATCCTCTCGCTCCTTTCAACGATGCGGTCGCCGTAACGGAATGGATTATGAAGTTCCGCGAAGCCGTGGGCGGGGCTCGCGACAGTAAGATTGGCGTTGGTGGCGACAGTGCCGGGGGTCAGATCACGTGCAGCGTCATCAACGACATACACGACCTTGACTTTCAAGTTCTCATCTACCCGGTGACGGACTTCTCCTGCAGTCTGCCATCTTTCCAGGAATTCCGTAAAATCCCAGCTTTCAACACGGACGCCCTCGAGTGGCGGTTCACCATTACAAACCCACCAATACCGGACGCTGGCAGCAACCCCCGCGTCAACCCATCGGCAAGGCTGAACCTGGAGTTATCTCCCCCTACGTTAATCGTCTGCGCACAGCTGGATCCCGTCAGAGATGCCTGTTTGGAATTTGCGAACAAACTGAGATCTGCAGGGGTCGAGGTGAAAGAGGTGATGATTGACGCGGTGCCTCATGGATTTTTCTCAGTCCCTGGCATCTTCAAAACCAAGGCGGCGGAAGCATTCAAGCACGTTTCAGAGTTTCTCCAAATGTTTTAACACCAGCCTCAAACAAATGTTTTAACACCAGCATCAAACAAATGTTTTAACACCAGCCTCAAACAAATGTTTTAACACCAGCATCAAACAAATGTTTTAACACCAGCATCAAACAAATGTTTTAACACCAGCATCAAACAAATGTTTTAACACTAGCCTCAAACAAATGTTTTACCACCAGCCTCAAACAAATGTTTTAACACCAGCCTCAAACAAATGTTTTAACACCAGCATCAAACAAATGTTTTAACACCAGCATCAAACAAATGTTTTAACACCAGCCTCAAACAAATGTTTTAACACCAGCATCAAACAAATGTTTTAACACAAGCATCAAACAAATGTTTTAACACCAGCCTCAAACAAATGTTTTAACACCAGCATCAAACAAATGTTTTAACACTAGCCTCAAACAAATGTTTTACCACCAGCCTCAAACAAATGTTTTAACACCAGCCTCAAACAAATGTTTTAACACCAGCATCAAACAAATGTTTTAACACCAGCATCAAACAAATGTTTTAACACCAGCCTCAAACAAATGTTTTAACACCAGCATCAAACAAATGTTTTAACACAAGCATCAAACAAATGTTTTAACACCAGCCTCAAACAAATGTTTTAACACCAGCCTCAAACAAATGTTTTAACACCAGCATCAAACAAATGTTTTATCACCAGCATCAAACACATGTTTAAACACTAGCCTCAAACAAATGTTTTAACACCAGTCTCAAACAAATGTTTTAACACCAGCCTCAAACAAATGTTTTAACACCAGTTTAAATGATTTACGAAGAAAACTTCAAGAAATCTGCTCCGCCTAATTTTTCTAAAAATACAAATTGTTGATGGTCAATTGACTAAGAGAAACTTCACCAACTTGTTGGTCAATCTGTATACCATATTTAATCATGCGATAGTTAGTCAAGCGAAAACTTGACGATAGCTATGTTAATTCAGTTTTACAATTTTTAGTTCTTTCAGGGGTTCTTAAACGTTTTTAATTTTTTTATTTTTTTTTTTAAATTCACGAATTGCTGAGCCTGCCAGGTTAAGGACATGGACTCCTTAAAATAAATTAAAAATATCTGCAATTATTTAAATGAGGAACCCCTGGGCTATATGGAATTCAGTTATAAGACGTTTAGGAATACATTAGTTATTTATACGAATTTAAGTCAGTCTGAAGATTAGCTCATTGGGCTCCTCATTACAATTTTAGCAATCGATTTTAACCTAAGCACGAGAAGACTGATCCTGTGAATAATCAATTAGATATAAGCATGTGAATATAGTTCAATGGCAAATTTGCTTAGCAATTTCTAGGCCAAAAACAAATTTGTGGATAAAGTTCACTGTGGGACAAACTCGAGACCTATTGTCCTTTGCCTGATGATTGATTGCGTCATTTTATATTTAAAAATAATGAGATGTGCATGATAAAGCCAATTTTTAAAAAAAATATTTTAATACTGCTATGACTGCTCGAGTATTTAATCCTATGACGTAATGAACCCTACGGCCTATTACGGTGTACAGCATTCCACAATATGAAGTGCTGAGTGGCATATTGATATAAAAAACAATGTCTGCCAAGGAGATGTGAGCGTATCAAGCTAACAACATACCGGACTCAGTTATTTGTCAGCTTGTGTATCAAGTCACATCTGTAAAATTCTGGCGTCTTGTCTGAGGTGACCACTAAAAAAAAATTCAGGGTGACATTTAAAAGTTTAAAAAATCAACACCAGGACTTTTTTTTTCTTACCAGGACACAATAACTGGTCTGTCTGCGAGACCTTATTTATTTATTAAAAACTAATATTGGTGATATGGTTTTCAACAACACAGAAATAATATTTATTAGTGAATACACCCCAAATGGTTTATCATTGGGATTCTTTCCCCAATCGAAGCAAGCCACATCGGGGGAAATCCTTGCTCCTCAAACAACATGGGAAACAATTTAGTAACACCGATTTATTGTGACGCCTATTGTGCACACAAAAAAAGTGGACTAAGGCCATAATTATCTCTTAGGGTTGTCTTCCCTTGCTGTGAGTCCAGAAGGGTTGCCGTTCGTAAGAGTAGATGACGTTGATGAGGTAATTCATTGGCCATTATCCGGGTTTGACATAAAGTGGACCACTAAGTGCAGCAAAAACATGTTGACAGCCACGTACCTAGAAATAATAGATTCATATCAATTAAAGTTGGATGTAGATACAAACAAATACCTATGTTCAGATGTTTAGCTCGATTTCTCAGTTACAAGTTCTTGTCCGGGATGATCCATCAATGCAAACCCGTCGGCATCAGTTGTATGTAATAGTCTAAATAAATGTGTAATAAAATATCCTCCATATCATTCATTTTGAAATATAAATTAATTTTGTTTTTTGTTTTGTTGTTTTTTTTTTAATTTCTTAAGATGTTTGGAGTTTGTTGTTTAAAAAAAGAATAAAGTGTTGAATACCAATCAAGTTGCTATTTTTTCCTGGTCATTTTAAGTCATTGAACATTATTTCTCGGTTTTGCTGTTGATATATTTTTTTTAAAAAAGGGAGATAGCTTAGCAAATATGTTTAATGGAAAAAAAAATTCATTAAAAACCAGTTTTGCTGTTTGCTCTGTGATTTAAAACAATCAAATCCAGAAAGTTAAAAAAAAAAACAACACACGCCTATATCTATAAATATATTGACCGGGGATGGAGAATAAAAAAAAAAAGCATGTCCCGGTTACTCTAGATACATAAGACACCAACCTGTTAGTGTGTTACATCCCTTATCACCATCAGTCATGATGGTCTGTGCAATACACCAGTGACTGAAATAAAACTGAAAGTAAACAGAAACAATAAAATAATATTATTTTGAAAAATGTATGATACTCTGAGTGCTTATGGTCTCAAACTGGTCAGTGACTGTGACCTGTATTTAGTGGTCTATATCCGGTCAGTGCCAAGGACTTCAAAAAGTATAGATCTGTTCATTGCATTGTATGATATAAATCTTTTCAATGCAAAGACATCTCCGTGTGTTTATCATGTTTTTTTGTTTTTTTTAAAAGAGTGCATGTACTAAGCTAAACCTAAAGCGGTCGCTGTTGGCTGATATTATGTAGAGTTGTATGCGATCAAGCATGACATTCATAACAAAAACCTAATCAAAATGTCATTTGTTCCTTTGTTTGAGATCCATTGCAGTATAGGTGTTTTAAACGCGTAATGGTGTATTAATAAAACACAGCAACTCCCTTTAACTCAAATTTCGACACTATAAAAGTGGCTGGTTATTTTTTGCCCCTGGCTGTGCGAAGCGAGAGCTGTGCCCGGGACGTAGCTAAAATGTGCCACCACTATTATTTCATCAGTAAATGTTTTAAATATATAAATATTGCTGACCCTGATGTTTGCACCCCCTTCGCCAAAGCCCCCTCGCCCAAGCCCTTTTTGCCCAAGCCATCTTTGTCCAAGCCCCCTTTGCAGAAAGCCCCTTCGCTCAAGCCCAGTTTACTCAAGCCCCATTTTCCCAAGCAACCTTCTGCGCCCAAGCCCCCTTCGCCCAAACCCCATTTTCCCAAACCCCCTTTCCAAAGCCCCTCTTTGCCCAAGCCCCCAAGCCATCTTTTTTCCCCAGCCCCCTTTGCAGAAACCCTCTTTGCTCAAGCCCAGTTTTCTCAAGCCCCCTTTTCCCAAGTAACCTTCTGCGCCCAAGCCCCCTTCGCCCAAACCCCCTTGCCCAAACCCCCTTTCCAAAGCACCTCTTTGCCCAATCCCCCTTTCCGAAACCATCTTCGCCAAAACACGATTTCCCCAAACACCATTTGCCCAATCCCCCTTTCCCAAACCTTTCCCCAACCCCTCTTTGCCCAAGCCCCCTTTCCCAAGCCCCTCTTTGCCCAAGCCATCTTTGCCCAAGCCATCTTCGCCCAAGCCCCTTTGCCCAAGCCCCTTTTCCCAAGCCCCCTTTCCCAAGCCCCTCTTTGCCCAAGCCATCTTTGCCCAAGCCATCTTCGCCCAAGCCCCTTTGCCCAAGCCCCATTCGCGTGGCCCTTGTTTTCCGTTGGCAATGTTTGTTCATTAAGCATGTGCCCGCTAACACTTCATTAATAATTAATTGCATGTTTATAGTTTAGGATTTATGACCATGACAAAATGTCGTTTTTAATCGCCGTAAACATCAAGAAATAGCCATCAGAATCTTGACGCTCAGAGTCGAGACGTTCAAAACGGCCGGAAACAATCATTTTAAAAATGTGACAATCGTCCGTTAAACATCAGAGATATTGATTTACGTTTGGCCCATAAATCTGATCTAATGGGGGTATAAAGTATTTATGTAAACACGAACTTAATAAATAGTGGGTAATGTAAGGTTGGAAACGGTGGAGGGTCTTAATTTTGTTGGATTTGTTGATGTACTTTTTTTTTTTTGGGGGGGGGGGGGGGGGGGGTTAAGGGGGTATAAAGTATTTATGTAAACACGAACTTAATAAATAGTGGGTAATGTAAGGTTGGAAACGGTGGAGGGTCTTAATTTTGTTGGATTTGTTGATGTACTTTTTTTTTTTGGGGGGGGGGGGGGGGGGTGTTACTTGATTGTACTTTAGGATGGTCTTTGAAAATACTGTGATAAGGGTATGCTGGTGTACCGTAAGAAGTGCATTTGTTTAACCCTTAGGAAAATGTTTGGATGTACTTTATGAAAGCATTTTGGTGTATTATATGAGAGTATTTTGGTGTAATGTATAGGAGAATGTTTGGGTGTACTTTAGGGGGTCATTTAGGTGTACTTCAGGAGCTCATTTAGGTGTTATTTAGGAGGTCATTGATATGGTGTTTGCTGCTAGACAGCTTCAAGAGAAATGGCAGGAACAAAATACAGAACTATATTCTACATTTATCGACTTGAATAAGGCCTTTGAAGGGGTCAATAGAGGTGGCCTGTGGAAAATCATGAAGAAGTACGGATGCCCTGACAAGTTCACCAACATCATCCGTCAGCTGCATGATGGCCCGAGTACAGGACAACGGTCAATCATCTCAAGCATTCCCCGTCACAAACGGTGTAAAACAGGGTTGTGTTCTTGCTCCCACACTCTTCAGTATTATGTATTCCGCAATGCTGTCTGATGCGTTCAAGGACTCCA